AATGTCTGTTTGTTCCTGCATCAGTAATACCCGCAGTTGCATATGCCTCTAGTTTTATAAGCATTCACTGGAAATTTAGTTTTATAAAAATGTCAAGGCTACCATTGATTTGACCATGAAAATAGATCAGTAACTCCCTATTATTCTTGGCATGGGGCTTGAGATGATTGAAAATCATGAGATAATCTACTTCGATGTCCCTGAGTTTGCATATGAAGTACTCTAGAGTGAGTTGTCTGAGCACAGACCTATTACGAAATGAACTGGAGATCACTCTCAATTATCTTCCTAAAAAGAGAAAAATAGTCTATCCAAGTTTGTGCAACCTGAGGAGAAACAAGATGACTTGATATTGACACTGAGGCTTTACAGGTAAAGCTGTTTGTCACGATCTGCAAACTCAGTTTTTATTTATACTCGAAAAATTTAGATTTTTCTCTTTAAAAGTGAAAAATAAAATAAAACGTGGAAGCTAGTAATGGTATTTTGCTTCGTAATATTCTATTTCCAGTACAAGGCCATCTATTCAAGAATAGGGAAAGACATAGTCAGGTTATAATATGGGAACAATACACAAAAGCTACATATAAGAATTACTTTTCAAAACTAACAAATTTGTCTAATTATTTCAAAAATCAGGTGGTAAATAGATTTATTAAATATTAAATTATAATATAATATATATTAATTATTTACACTCCATGACATCTCACCCACCCCCGCCACCTCACTACACCACCTTCTCTCCATCTCCGGCACCGCTCTGGCGATGGTCCGGCGACTGCTCCGGTGACACTCCGACGAATGTTCCGACTATTACTCCGGTGGCCGCTCTGGTGACTCTTCGGCGATCACTCGACGAATATTCAGACGATCACCCCAACGCCCGTTCCGGCGGCCAATTCCAAATTTTTCCAGAATTTTTTTGTCACAATCAGTCACAATTCACAAGTCACAATCGGTCACAAAAGGGCACAATTCACCAGTCACAACAAAAGGACACAATCGGTCACAAAAGGGCACAATTCACCAGTCACAATCAGTCACAACAAAAGGACACAATCGGTCACAAACAGTCACATTCGATCACAAACAGTCACAACGAACTACCGGCGCCGATGAGCTTGTTTAATTTCAAAAATTAAATAAAAACTTCACGAGCGCCATCAAAACAACGCCACAAAAGCCGCAGTTAAACAACCAACAAAAACCAACCCAAAAACT